ATTACTTTACGAGTGAAATTAATTGAAAGCTAATGTTCAATTAGCCGTCGCTGTTGAAATGGTTTATTTCGGGAAGTGGACGGGGGAGAGCTCCCAGGGGCCGCACCGCAGCTCTCCTGGGCTGTGCGGTGGAGCCATGTGCGCGCCTCGGCGCCACACGCTTTTGCCTACGCAATCAAACGACGTAATAAAGACTGCGCGCTCTTACCTCACGCTCCTCTCTAGGTGGGCGCGGACAGGCGCGCAGCCCCCGACCGTGCCCACCGCTCCTTCCCGCGCAGCGGCACCGCCGCAAAACCCGCAAAACCCTCAAGACCCACAAAACCCGCATCGGCTTTCGCGTGCGCCGAGTGCCACTCGCCCGAAACGCCCAAGCCAAGTCTCAAGAGGACGGGGCTAAACTCTAAGCTCGTCCTGCTCCAGCGGCGTACTTTTGGGGAGGTGAGAGCAGCGTACAGGCAGCTGGTCCAAACGCTGCAGCCCCAGGGTTACCAACAGTGTTACGAAGTTGAACCCGGCTATGAAAATAGCCGCTAACTTCGAAACGCCTTTCCCGAACTTCTTGGCTATCAGAAAGGGCCCCAGATATCACAAAACGCCGATTTGGAACCACTCCCTTAAATGTCTCCATCCACAAAACAGTTCCCCATGTTCTCCATCTGACCTGGCCTGTGGCAGTAGGGAAGGGGTTTTAATCCATGCCCTCTCGACTATTTGCATGCATTTCTCTGCTATTTTTGATTATGACCTTTGCAGAACGTAATAGGAACTGTAATTACTTTAAGAAGAAATTCTAAGGAGGAAACTTAGAAAGGAGAATATTCCTCCTCTCTACGTTTTCCACAGTTTAAGTGACAGACGAGCGTGTACAAGTGAGAAACCACCAGAACCACCATGTAAATGGAAGGGTTTCTCAAATCTATTAAAAAAAAAAAAGTTTTGTTTTGGCTTTTTTTTTTTTTTATAGACGAAAAGCAAAGCAACAGTTTGGAAAAATTAAAAATCAGTTTGAGCTAAAAAAAAATAAAAACCACAAAGCGCCGTGCTAACCTGGCGCTTAAATGACCTCTCCGCAGGCATGGCTGGGGCCAAGTGTCCCCGTTTGCTGTAGGGGCTGCCACCACAGATGTCGAAGCCTTACAGGGACACCTCTCAGCTGCTGCCCGGACGCATGTCCCGTGCCCACCGCTGCACAAGGTCGCACCGCATCTCTTTTGGCGTTCAGGGCAGGCCCAGTTCTGCTGGGAGACAATCACAGGTCAGAAGGGACGCTCGGGTTTGCCTCCTGTGCGCAAGAGGAGGGAAGCACGAGAGGAACGAGGGTTCGTGCCCCACGCTGGGCCCCACCGCCCGCAGTTCATGGTGGTCCGCGGGCAGATGTCCCGCTCCGTGCCTCCCAGTTGCGCTGCCCCCGCCCGGGAAGGTTTCTAGCGAGCCCGCTCGGCCTTTCCCCGTCCCAGCAGCAGCCGCAATGCCTCACGACGAAGGCTCCGGCCCGGCAGAGCCCAGAGTTGCCGACCCCCGTCCGAGCAATGTCGCGCAGGGACCCACGGGCTGAGCGCCCGTCGGGCCGCCTCCCGCGGCCAGCCCGCACTTTTCACTGCCTAGCGCGGGGACACCAGCACTGCTAATCTCATTTTCGTTGTGATCAATTTCTGTGGGGAGGGGGAGAAAAAAAGATTGATTATGATTATGATTGTGATGATAATATAAATAAAACAGTGTTTTTAAAACTGAAGACGAAGCACGCGTGTGCGGTGAGCCAGCCCGCCGCACTGAGAAGCAGGAGGTGACCTCCGCCGCCACCACGCACGTCACTTCAGGAAAGGGATCCCCTCCGGGGGCAGAAGATCCCGGCACGACCTACCTGCGACCTGCGAGAGGGAAGTTTCCCTTTGCCCCCTCCCTGACTGCGAGCCGCCCTCCCGGCCCGCCGAGCCCACACCACCGCCCCTTTGCAGCCAGGGCCACGGGGAGCGCAAGTTGCGCGGCCGCCCCGCTGCAGAGGGCCGCGGACCGCCCCGAGCATTAGCAGTAATTACACGCGGCACTTGTTCAAGCTACGCACGGCCCCCCAGCTTCCCCAGCCGAGCAGCACCACTGACAATGCAACGGGTTATTAAACAAGCCGGGCTGACAACTGCGTTCCCCCCTATTTATTTTCGCCACAAACACCCTACCGCTGCAGACCGCTGAGAAAACCCAAACTACAGGAAAGCCGGCGCCTGATCGCAACAAAAATAACAGGCAAATAGCAGACTCAATCGCCTCTACCCTCTGCCTTCCTTAAATTTTATTTTTAATACATGACGGGGGGCAGGAATGGTCTTATTATGCTGCCACCCCGCTGGCAAACCCATCTGCCAAGGCAGAGGGAGCTGCCCCGCCGAGGGTCCCCTCTCCAGCGAGGGGGAGCGGGGGCGACAGGCAGTGAGAGCCCCGCCGTGCCTCTGGCCCCGCAGTCCCTCTCCCCGGGAGGCGGCGGTGGGCGGGAGCCGCCAGTTCAGCTGCTCCCCGCTCTGTACCGGGAGAGGGACGATGGGGAGCAGAAAGTGAGCCCGGCCGAGAATAGGGAACATTTTATTTTCCTTTACTGGTGAAAAACGGGGATCAGAAATTAAAACATGTCCCCGGGAGCGAAGGCGCTCAACTTTGCTCGTCCTCCTCTTCAGCTTTACCACAACTGAGCAATGGAACGTTTAAGGTTCTCTTACCAACTTAGCAAACAAATAAATGTAAATAAGGCGCCCGGTAATCTTCGTAGAGGTACTAGCACGAAAAAGCAAGACTATGCCACACTTAAATAAAGGTATTCTAAGCCAACGCGTTCTAAGATGACACACTCCCCCCAGTTCATCCATCTGCTGAAGGTGTTTTCTAAACATTGGACTATTGCTTTGGAAGGGAAGCACAGCTCAAAAGCGAGGTAATAAGGTTGAACTGTAAATACCTTTGTATTTATTTACAGCGTAACCCTTAACAATGCAACAGCAATTACTGCTAAGTGTTGCCTTTAGATAAGAGATTCTGATAGGAAACTGTATTATCTTGAAAGCAGATTTTAGGCCTTAAATATCTGTAATCAAATAAACTTATTTCCAAGTCTGACTGACAAGGCCGCTTCTTTTAAGTTAATGGATTTATTGCGTTTTGGTGGTTACTTACAAAAGGGGAAGGTGATCCCCATTGACTGTAGGTTCTTAATAGTAAATTGTCCAGAAGGTAGGATTCTTGATATGACAAGATGCCAGTCTGTGCAGCACTCATTTGCTACCCTGGTAATAGATATTTTTTTTCCAATTTGAGAAAAAAATAAAGGAGGTAAGGAGAGGAAAAAAAAAAAAGGAAAGGAAAGAAAACCCAAACCAAAACAGCACCCAAGCAACTATATAAGAAAAATTAGCCCACACAAAATATTTTTAAAATAATCTGTCTGAGCAATTGAGACACAGACCAGTGAAGTCCCTGAAGGACGGGAGTAATGCAGAGCTGTAAAGGTGTAAGGGTAGAGTGTACCCTCTAACACAACTACTCTTTTTCCTCCCCCCCACCCCCGAAATAAAATAGTACTTTATGTGCTACACAAGCGGCTTCACTGATGTGACTGCACGCTTTGCTATCAATTCTAAGAAGCAGTAATTTATATGCTGGCATTATATTTAAGAGTACACATACTACAGATTATTTGGCATCTGCTATACACTGAAGTTTAGAAAAATATGCAATACGTATATGAAACTATAAATAAATACGTAATCCTTCTTTAAATATAGGTACATATGTAAATCCTAGATATAAATACATTTGAAAGACACACAGAGGGATCGATAGCTCGACATATATAGTTACACATGGTCTGGAATCTAGTGCATGCACTTCTACCTCGGAGTTATCACTTAATATATCCTTACATAGGCATATTATTTAAAACAACGTAATGTCGCCATACTACTGTGTATGGTCAAATGTTTCCAGGTCTTGCCATTAATTGCTAAGAAAACGTGTTTGTTTATTTGCCAACTCAGAGCTGCCATGGGAAAGTATTTTTTTCCTAGCGGATAAGGCGAGCTGACTAAGTGGAACATATTGCAGAAGAGACTGAAAAGGGGTTTTTCGACCTGGCAGTTCCTAAATGGTCTTTGGAATTTGTGCGGAGGGGAACAAGCTGTTCCAGCGACAAAGTTAGTTATGAAATCCCTTTTCCCTCTCTTTCTTTCTCTCTCTCTCTAAATGAAAGCATTAAAATATACAGACGTGTAAAGGATCATTCCAACTGAATGGTAATTTATTAATAAACAAACAATGCAATACCTTCAGAATATTTTCAACAAAAAAAGAAAAAATATTGATAGAATAAGATTAATACAGTTTCCCTTTTTATATATAGTGAAAAAAAATCAGCGTTTCAGTCAATTATAACGTCACTTTTCAGGAAAGGGGGAAACACTTTCTGGCGTTTGGTCCACAACATCCAACTACAAATTAAAAATAAATTACTATGTCGCAATTTACATTTTAAAACAAGTCCTTGTAGAAGAGGAAGGGGAGGGGAAAAAAAGCTGGTACTCTACGCTGGACTTTTCGCTCCCTTTTAAACATGGGGCATGGCAATACCTTAAGGGAAGGGGAAGAGCGCGAGATGGGGGGCGGGAAAAAAAAAGTATTTCTCAAAGCAATTAGAAAAAAAAAAAAAAACTTACGTGTTATTGGAGTAACACTGTCCTTTAACAAACCAAGACATGCTTTGGGGCTGTCTCTGTACAAAAGCTTTTCGCGATGCGCTCGCTTCCCTCCGCGGGCGCTGCGAGGGCCGGCGGCGCGGTGCGGAGCGGAGCTGAGTTCCCGCGGTGTCCCCGCGACGGGGCGCGCTCAGAACTTGCCGCAGTCGTAGACGAAGGCCCCGGAGGTGCGGTAGAGCGGCTGGCTGCCGGGGAAGGCCATCTGACAGCTCCCGCCGCCCCCCGCCCCGCCGCCGCCGCCGCCGCCCCCTGCCCCGCTGGGGCATGGTCCTTGAGGTGCAGGCGGTCCTTCTCCTCCTTGTCCTTGACGGCGTCCTTCTTTTTGAAGCGGCGGCGGCGGCGGAGGAAGCTGCCGTTCTCGAACATGTTGTAGGAGTCGGGGTCGAGGGTCCAGTAGCTGCCCTTGCCGGGCTTCTTGTCGTCGCGGGGCACCTTGACGAAGCACTCGTTGAGGGAGAGGTTGTGGCGGATGCTGTTCTGCCAGCCCTGCTTGTTGTCCCGGTAGAAAGGGAACCGCTCCATGATGAACTGGTAGATCCCGTTCAAGGTGATCTTCTTATCGGGAGCGTTCTGGATGGCCATGGTGATGAGGGCGATGTAGCTGTAGGGCGGCTTCACCATATCCTTGGGCTGCGGCGGTGGCGTGTAGGGCCCGTAGGCTCGGGCCATGCCGGCTGGGTACTGCTCGTGGGCCGGGTGGGAGTACATGCTCATCGGGGCCGGCATGGCCGTGTAGCCCCCGCCGGCCGCCGCCGCAGCGGCACGGTAGTAGCTCTGCTCTCCGCCGAGGTACGGCACCACTCCTAGGGAGTTGGGACTGGACACGGAGTAGCGAGCCTGCATGTCCTCCCGTCAGCTTTCCCCCACCCTCCCCGCCGGACCAAACAGCGCGTCCCTTCCCCCTCCACCCCTCCGCCGCTCCGCGGACCGAGCTGGACCGGGCGGCCGGGCAACCCCCACCCCCCCACCCCCCCGGCGGAGCGCGGAAAAAGGGAGGAAGAATAACGACGGCAGCGCCGAAAGCCTCCTCTTCTTCGCCCAGGAAAGCCCACCGGCGAGCTCCCGCGCTCCACGCGGAGGGGGGAAAAAAAATCAAAAAAGGGGGGGAAAAAGGAGGGGGACAAAAAAAGGGGGAAAATGTTTTAAAAAAGAAAACGGCGGAGGAAAAAAAAAAAGTAATCGCAGCGGAGAAAGCAACTTCCAAACGCAGAAAGAGTATTAAGAAAATAAAACCTTTGCAAAGAGGCTCCCACGCTCCCAGTTCCTTGTTCCACGGGGATCTGCAACAAGTTGTCTGCAAAGGAGGGACAAAAGTAGAGGGATGTGTTTTGTTGGCTTTTTTAAGCGAGCAGAAGAAGAAAAAAATCCACCTTCCCGATCTCCCAGTGCAAAGTTTCCCTCTCTCTCTCCCTCTCGCTTTTTTTCAGTCTCTTTTTCAGTCGCAGGCTGCTTTGGGAAGCATCGGAAAAACTCCTGAACTTTTGAGCATCCGTCACCACGGCGAGAACTTTTTTACGCACTTACAGTTTTCTCCTTTTTTTTTCCCTCCCTCTCGTCTCTCGGTCTCCCTTTTTTTTTTTTTCCTCTCTTTTTTTTTTCTTTTCCTCCTTTTGCAGGCGGCTCAGCTCCGCCCCGCCGAGCTGGGCCGGCCAATGAGGGCCGGGAGACACCCCGGGCTCTGAATGAGGAGGGAAAAAAAAATAAAAAAGGAGAGACCGAGGGAAAAAAAAAAAAAAGACGAAGAAAAAAAAAAAAGAAAAAGAAAAAAATCCCCACAGCAGCTCCGGGAGTTGTAGCGCTCGGGGACCGGCCACACACACTCGGCGGCACACGCGGGCGCCTTGAGCGCCGCGGAGCCCTGCGTTCGCGCGGGCCGCTGCGCACCCTCCGGGATCCGCCGGCGCCCGCGCATTTTGCGCGACCATCCCGCCCGAGCCCCACTGCCCTACACCTTCTACACCTTTCTCGCCCCCCACACACCCGCGTCCTTACACGCGCGGTCGCCCTCGCACACGCACGCCGGGCACACGCACCATGTGCATGTCCTCACCAACATATATGCATATATATATATATCTGTGTGTGTGTATATGTACGTGTGTACATGGAGCTTCCCCCGGAGCTCCTTCCACCCACGCGCGCACCCCGCGCTCTGCCACGCGTGTTTTCTCCACGAATGTTACTTCTCTTATTCTTTTTTTTTGTTGTTGTTGTTGTTGCTGTGTGTGTGTGTGTGTAAGCTCCTCGGACTATTTTCTCCACACGTTCCGGTCGGGCTCTCTCCTCCCATTCCCTCCAGGCTGCCGCTCGTGTCGGCGGGCCGGCTCCATGCCGGTGTGCCGGCTTCGCTCCCTGTCCGCCCCGGCCAGAAGCTCACCCCAGCTGCCTTCCACCCCCCAGGCCCGCGGGGGCGGCGAGGAAAGTGCGTGTGTGTGTGTGTCTGTGTGTCTGTGTGTCTGTGTGTCTGTGTGTCTGTGTGTCTGTGTATCTGTGTGTCTGTGTGTCTGTGTCTGAGTGTGTGCGTGTGTGTGTGTGAGTGTGTGCGGTGGGATGCCCCTGCACCACCTTGCCTGCAGCCAGCTGCCTGCCTGACCAAACGCTTCTGAAGAGATTGCATTCCTCCGGTTGACAAGGGTTTGACGAGTCCTCCAAAGCTCCTTTTTATTAATCAGCCACCAAGGGCTTCCCTCCCCCTGTCTGCAAATGAAGCGCCCGCTGCCTCTGCTGTTTGTAAACACGGGCGCGTTTCTCTGAACGGGGTCTGTAGCTCGCCCCGTCAGGTAATCTTTACGTGATGTGGGATGTGATACGGAGAGGGATCCTAGCTTTATCTCTTTACTCATTTGAGACGGAGAGGGCACAATTCTGTTACTGGTCTAATTCAGAGTGGATTCCGTGGTATGTCAGGTGTGTCAAAAGAAAAAAAAAAGGGGGGGGGGGAAGAAGAAGAAAATGAACGTTCCCTTAACTGCTTGGCCGGTTCTGCTATGAAGATTTGATTTGCTTTGTCTTTGTCTAACTATCTGAAATAACATTGGGCTCTAATCAGAATAAGACTTTAACGGGAACTCAGAGGGAACAGAGATTGAAGCTTGGTTATTTATTTTTTAAATTTTAATTTCAATTGTCTCTTACATTTGAAGAATGAAGATTTTTCTTTTCGTACTATAAACACGGATGAAATTAGTGTACATTGTTTCACAGTAGTCCATTTTACCAATAGTTCAGATATTCGAATATACAGCCCAGTACTCTTCATTCGCTTTGTAGCCCATACCTCTGAAACTTCATTAGCGTTAATAACAGATCAGCTAAAAGGATCATGCTGAAATCATTTTAAGGGGTGGAATTTGTACGGGAAAGTCGTGTGTGTGGTGCGTTTGTGAGATTAATTACCCATCCTGATCTTATGACACTAAAAATACGTTAAAAGACCCTTTTGGCTTCACTGATTTGAAATCCCCTTTCCACACTTTTTACTGTGATCGATTGCTTTGGGGATCATGCCTTTGGAGCGTGCTAAAGGCACATCGTTTGCTTGGTGGTATTTTAGCAGGTATGGCTTTTCCTCTCAAACACCGATCTGTTGGTTATTAAAAAAAAAAATATTTGAAATGAGATTCAAGTCGTGTGAAGAGGGTAATTTATGTAGCTTAATATCTGCTGCTTTTAATATTCAAACGTAACGGGTCTCCTTTTGGTAGTAAATGTCAGTTCTTTAATGGTGAATACATTATCCCGTTTAGCCTGTTGTATTTCATCGTCTGGAATCTTTCACCTGCTCCTGCCTAATTACACTTTTTTCCCTTTCCTCCCACCACGGCAGAATTAATAAATGTGCAAGCACTGGACTAGATGTCAATTCCAACACTTTATATTTTCAAAACCTCTTTCTTGTTTTGCTGAGGAGGGGAAAAAAAATGGAAAATGAGAAAGAAAAAGGGCATTTTAGCACGTTTCCATGCAGCCCGGGTCATCCGGTTTTCCCACGGTATTACCTGCCGTTAAAAACAATTTCCGTGGGCTCCCCGCTCGCTCCCTTGAGCGTCCGTAACGTGCCGCTCCGAGACCCGGAGCCTTCGGTGGCTTTTTCATTTCATCTGGACTATGTTGACGGTAGCGAAGCTGTTTCACAGGCAAAGGCTGGAGTAACACCGAGAAGTTTCAGTACAGAGAAGGAGGGGAAGGGGGGGCATTAATCCGAAGTATTTTGCATCTAATATATTTTGCAATAGCAACTCTGATGCTATAATTGCGAACTGACGCAACTAACGTGTGTTAAGTTACAGACCTCAACCCAGCAGGACTTTGGTTTCTGTGCTGCAGGCACAAAAGTCACCATTGTGAAGGTTCACAGTGGAATCTGGGGTTTGTGTGTGTGCGTGTTGAGGGAAAGAAACGGGTTTGGGGGAAGCAGGAAGATCAGTTTTCCCCCTGCTATCTTTGGATACCACCCAGAAAGAGTCCCTGGCGCTTGGTCTTCACGCACCCTGTCGTACGGCAAGGCTGCCTCTCCCAGGCGCCCTACCTCTGCCGCCTTAGCCAGCCTGGCCTCGCTGCGGGACAGCCGCCTTGGAGGTGCCCCGCCTGGCTCTGCCCAGGACCGGAGCCGGGCGGCAGCAGCCGCGGCCTCCGCGGGCCCCTCTCCCGCAGGGCCCCGGCGGGGCCGCGGCCGCTGCCGCCTCCTCCCCGGAGCCCGGCGAGGGACGCCGGCGGCGCGGCGGGAGCCCCGATGGGCAGACCCAGGCCAGGGGAGCCGCGTTTGTCTTGAAACCCTCCGAGGATTCGTGTGTGTGGTCATTTGCAACCTTATTTAGGAAGATGTCAGAAAGAAAGATGACATCGGAGCGGTAGGCGGCGGGACTGGTATTTGACCTGGGCAAAGCCCAGGTGGACCCAAACAATTCGCTGTGCGTTGTACTCCTCGCTCCTCTTAAAGACCTGGAGGTGAACTGCTTTCCAGCCCCGGGCTGTTTATGTTAAGTCGTAGTCAGAGCTTCGCTTCTCTCCCTTTCTTTTGGCTTCAACATCACAGCAGTGTCCCTGTAACTCCAAAAACCAGCCACCCAGCCTGTCCCTTCGCATCTCAGGATGCAGCTTTCCATGTTCTTTAAACAGCAGGCGACACCACAGGAGAAAACCGCTGACATCCTTTCGAGGGGCTGGGAGGGAAGTTGATCGCATCAAATCTGTGCTTCACCAGTAGAAAAATCTATTGTGCCGAAAGTCTCCTCTGTGTTTGCAGCCGCTGGACATGGGTGACAGCAATCCCTTCCTCCCTCCCTCCCTCTCGTCCTTGCACCAGCAGCACTGCCATCTCAAGCCTGTGCAATTAAGCCGAGCTCTCAATGCAAGGTCTGTCTTGCGTGGCACTCAGTTAAGCAAACAGGCGTGATTGTTATTTTATTAACGTGGGTTAACAATTCCATAAATATGCCGAGGTAGTTTTCCAATCCAGGGCGTCTTTTATCTTGAGACATAAATAACACAACTTAATACGAAAATGAGCACTCCATTCCCTGTGGCATCTTTAGCCTCTCGTTCTTGGCTGAGAAATAAATAATCCTTCGCAGTAAATGAGGCAGCAGACATCGGCTTCGTGCCATTCACGGGAGAAATACCTTAATTTCACGTTAGGTATCTAAACGCGAATTTTGCATTTAGTTTACGAGGAAGAACCGAGACCATCAAGAGGTCGGAACATTTCATCTTCCCACGATAATTATCGCGGTTGCACATATAATTCGTCTCTGTGACTGTCACAGAGGTGTCGCGGCACTAAGAATAAGGACAAAAACCAGGCTGTGGGAAACTACTTGTGTTGCTTCTGCTGTAAAGTACATTCTGTAAAGCACTCACACACACAAACAGAGAAAAACCGGCAAGTGGGCAAGAAACCTTTAATTATTTGGTAGGTTCTCTAGCTTTGGCATCCCATGGTAAAACACAATCATCTGAGCGGCTCAGGGTGTTAAAAATTCACTCCTAAACTGACAAGAGGATAGCCAGACATGGAACTTTAATTTTTTTTTTCTTCTACTTTCCAAGGTCCCCTGTCCCTTTTGTGTTCCTTTTCCTCCCTTATTTCCTTCCTTTCTCTGGGAGGGGCAGCGAGGGCGGAGGGGGGCTCAATCCATTGGATTCTCTGGATTCATATAAATGAAAACACACAGGGAGCAACGGAGCCGGGAGTATGAACCTTAGCAGCCCTGTCCTGCTCCATCTCCACCTATTGCTCCAGCAGACGAGAGGAGAGAGAGACTTATTTGTATAAAGGGTTTATTTACATTAGAATGAAGCGACAGTTCCTAGTCTGGGAAGTGATAAGTACTTGGCAAGTCATTAGGTAGCAGATAGAGATCAGCCCCTGGATACATAATTGCCTGCCTTTCCCATGCTCGTTTTTGAGGGCTGGAAGCTTTCTCGGGACGGTGCGCGGCAGAGTTAGCGGGGGTGCGGATGGGGGGTGGTGGCGGGGGCGCCCAGCCCTGCTGAGAGCCACGACCGGGCGCTGCCCCGCAGCGGGCGGCCCTCGCCGGGGGCCAGCGCGGAGCCTGCGGAGGGACGCCCGCCCTCAACCCGCCCGTGCCTGCGCTGCGCGGGGGGCAGCGGACTGGCGAGGGCAGCCGCTTGTCGCGGGCGAGCAGCGGCGGCGCTCGGATCCGCACGGCTCCGCACGGCTCCGCACGGCTCCGCACGGCTCCGCACGGCTCCGCACGGCGCCCTGTCGGAGGTGAGCGCCAGAGCGATGCCAGCTGCGTCCAGGCCATTATGTTCTTCGCTCTGCCAAGGAATGTCTTTATTGGTTGCCAGGTTTGTCAATAAGACTTGCGAGGGGAAAAGCGTTGGTTTCCAGGAAAAGTACTTCTGTTTTCTAACCTCCCCCTTGCTGTCCAATTACTGATGCGTTCAACCTCCAAGGAGTGGCTTTGTAAAACTGGTAAACCCAGAGGCAGATGCCTTCACAGAGTGGCCACAGAGATGTGTAAATTTGCACTCAAACACACACACACAAGCACAGCTACATGCACTCACTCAAGGCATTTCAAGGGTTTCACATGGTTATTAAGTGCAATCACACCAAAGAACTAGTCTCCTCTAAGGCTCCTAGGAGCTATAGTAGTGTAAGTAATGAAACTCAGATATCTGAATATGCACTTCTGTGAAGCCACAGATGCTCTCTTTGCAGTTATTTGTGCACTGCTGGAAGTAAACCATGCATGTTTACATACAGAAAACAATGTCTTGCTTTGCAAAAAGCAAAATACAATAAGAAGAGGTGAAAGAATAGTTTAAAAAGTAGAGCTCTCAAGATGTAACTATTATTTTCCACAGACCGCGGGGAATGTACAAAAGAGATGGTGTTTTAAATGCACCTTGTGTAACAAACACTTGAAACTCACAGCTGCGGGAGTTCCATGGGCTGTGACCCCAGGCAAACCCCATTTTCTAGTCTCTGCCCTCAGAATGAGGCAGCATCCCATTTAAAGGTAAAATAAGTCATCACTCTGTTCCTGATTGTGTTACAACTGCAATTTCTGATTCTTTCTCTCCCTCTCTGCCTCTGTAGGGCCACATGCAGTGCATTTCTGCCAACCTGTAAACAGACTGGTTTATGATTTGAACAGAAAAGTTGTACTTAAGAAGAAAAGATCTTCGGCAGTATGTATTTCAATGTCTCCCCTTAAAGTATCCCTTCTCTGACCATATAAAAGCAAAGCTTTCAGACTTTCTTTTTTTATCCAGGTGGCATTAGCCCTCTTCATTAGATCTCTGTGTGTTGGATGCATGGCTCTGGCATGTCACCACCTCACCTGATCAGCTCACACCCCAAGTCCTGCCCCAGTGAGACCGGCTGGCCAACTGTGATGGCAACACGGCTAAAGTTTGCATATGAGGATGGCATCAGCCAAGCCAGGCAAGGTCAGTTCCTGCATTTTGCAAAGCAGAGGAGATTGCCAGACTACATTCAGTGGCAGATGACCAATTCAGAGGTATTACACTTGATAAATACAAGTACAGGTATTTTAAGACAGTGTGGCATGAAGAAAAGGACTCTTGATAGCTCATTAAAAAAAAAAAAGTTTATATTTAACTTCATAACCCCTAAAATAGAGGCAGAGATGCTTAGCCAAGGCTTACATTTAAAAATAATTGCACATGTATAACTGTGGAGTACAAGTGTGGCTTGTTGGTTCAAAGGCAGATTCACAGCTTTCATTTAGCACACACTTTTGCTCTCAAGACTTGTGGACACTGCAAATATTGAAGCAGTCACTTACAAAGGGAACACTCAGTATAGGACACTCTGATTGTATCTTTCCTGCAGTTTAGATAAGCTTGCCAGGTAGCAAAAACCAGCGTTTCTCTACTCACTAGAGCCCTTTGGAGAGGTGCTGTGTGACAGGGAGGCTGTCGGAGGCAGAAGTGTTTGCATGGGATGGAGCCTGCAACTACCGTAACCGTCCCTGTGGCAAGAACACCCACAGAAACAGGTAATTTGCCCCTCCCACACCAACTAACAGCCAGAAGCAAAAAATGTTAAAGTAACTTACATCATCCTTTGCCTGTATCATTACTAAGGAGGAACTGAAAGCTGTTTTATGAGGAGCAGACAGACAAAACTAGCTTGAGCTTGAGACATAAAAAACCCAAACCACTAAGATACCTGAAGGCATCCCAATTAAGTGATATTACCATCCCGATCAAGATGCAGTCATTGTTAGTAAGCACCCCTGATTTTTAACAAAGATATTCCAATTAAGTAGATTTCCTGATTAGGCACACTTAAATTAAGTGGAGAGAACAGTGTGGAGGAAACCTGGATGGCTTTCTATGAGAGCCAGCTTCGGAGGGGAGCTTTGTCCCTTGCAACAGGGCATAAGTGGAGCTCAGGCCACTTAGCCCAAAATCGTGGCAATGCCCCTTGGCTCCGTGCTGAGCAACCTTGAAGCCATCCAGCCTCGGTGGGTGCCTCCATCTCTCAGCTGCGTGTTCCCCGAGCACAGGTAGCTCTGCTGCTGGGCATGCCTGCAACTGCCTGAGTCAGAGCATCTTGGCACCTGTTTTCAGCTTCAATCCCAGTGGGATCCAAAAAGTAGGCAGAGTGGCGTCTGAGTACCCGCAGGGTCTGATTCAATAGATAATGTCTTGGGCTGTGGGACAAATTTGAAGGGAAGGTTCTTATCAGCTCTGCAACACATATCTCTCTGTATTTTACAGGTCTCAACTCTGGCTAGATCCTCATGGTTTTTAAATGGAGTGACTTGAAATGACACATTTTGGCAGGAGTCACATAGCTTTTTATACTATTGCCCCTCTCCTTTTTACTCAGGCGTTGAGCTTGAAGGTCTAAAGCACAGGTTCTGGAAAAAAAATGCAGACAGCAAGACTTCCAAACACTGGCCCTTTAGGAAGCTCTGAGCTGAACCTGCCAAGTGTGCTGAGTGAAGGAGAGAAGGTTATGAGTCTTGCATCTAGATATGCTGTGCTTAATATTCACCGTGGGCACACCTACAACTGGAACAACAACAGTTCTGGATAGGAGAGAGCTCTGAAAAAGAAGGTTGCAGATAGGGATGGCCAGACTGGGCCATGGGAATAGTTTCATGTCTCTCCCATGCATCTGTTTCCCTCCAGAGGCTGGGCATGTCTTGCATCTACACAATAAGGGAAGGAATGTGAGCCCTCCACCACACCTCTAGCTTTCAACATTTGCTGAGCCTGTTTGTCTATTTTGGTTTTGGTTTATTTTTTGTTTTGTTTTGTTTTGTTTTCACCTATGACTTTTTAGATTTTAATCTCAGCAGGGTAGGGACTGCCTTTTGTTTTACAGTTGTACACTGACTGTGCCTGGGATCTTGAGCTGATGTGCTAATAATTAATAAGCATAATTTTCTTGAGGGATACTCTTCAGTGATTCATCTGGAACTGACTGGACTGCTGATAAAATAGACCATTTCCTTTGGAAGACAAGAGCTCATGATAACTACTCGATTAAAACAATTTCTTTCTGCAGAGGTGAGCACAGGTGTTGTACTCAGTAGTGTTCATCATGGATTTGCATAGACTGAATAGTACATCATGTCCCTCTTTCTCCTAAATTTAGGGGAATAGCAGCATCCATCTAAATGTCTTTGAAGAAATTAATGACACGGAGTTTTCTTGCTGACCTGCAGCAAAGGTGTGCTCTTGATGTGTGCCTGTTTTTCAATTTGCCTACCCGTAGAAATTCCAAATGTAGTAGCTTCATGTACTTATTTTGTGTCAGAGGTCTCTTGCTTGTGTGTCATCCTGACCTTGCACGGCTGTGTGGCACTGAAGTAAATCAGTCCAGAAATTCATATTCGAATTAGTGTTTGAAATTAATGTTTAAAATTATTTTATTTTTTCATATTCTTCTTTCCCTTTCAAATGAGGTCAGATCCTCCAACCATTAAATTGAATTGCATCAGTTGTGGCTCTGGCTTGGAGAAATTAAAGGTGAGCACCTGTACCAGCTCAGCACCACCACGCTGAATGCAGTCACAGAAATTCAGCCACTGAGGAGTGAGCAAGACTAGAGCTTGGATGATGCTGCTGAATTTTGTACGTGTGCATCATGTGCCAGGAAAGACCATGAGGTGGTGTTAGGGAAAACGGCTGGTTGAGGCAGTTCCAGCTTTGAGATTGGTTTCTTACTCTGAAAGCTGTCCCTCACAAAGCACAGTGTGCAACAGTGGCGTAGGGTTTTTTTTTGTACAGACTTAAATATACTCGTTAACTCTTCAAAATAATGTTATCTCTTCCAGCGCATTTCCCATTGAAGTGAATGGAAATGTTCCCATTGACTTTAAAGCACAATTTCCTCCACCTACTCCTTCTTAAAAGACTTAATCAAGCATGTTTAGTGGAAACCTATGAGAGTTGTCTAATGACTGGCTCGCTTTGCCCAGGGAAAAACGTAACTATAAACTGAAACATGATGCTGAAAACTAGGTTTAGTAGAAAGTGTTTAGTCTAGTGCTGGATGAATGATGGAAGCTTGTATTTGTGAATAATTTATTTGACAATTGGTGCAGGAAAAAAAATGACCGAATAAGTTCTTTGCTCGTTTTTTCTTGCCTGTCTACCAAACTGGCTGCACAACGCGCAAACAAATGGCTAATATTTATTCAGGAGCAAAGAGGTCAGCTTTTGTCAAAAATGTTTTTAGCAGTGGCTTGGACAAGCACCAGATTAGCTTAATTTTCTTGTGTCCTCTGCATAGTAAACAAAGGAAGCTGTGCTATTAGTTACTGAATTCACTGTGAATTTTGCATCTCACCAGTAACGCTTACACTTTACAGCAAATCCTCTGTTGTAAAGACTCTGCCAACAATGGACCTTGGCTTTCCCGCCTGCAGAAAACCTCCTGAAGCTTTAGAAACCTCTGAAGTGAGTTTCTCTTTATAGCCTGTACAGGAGGTGCTGGCCACCTTCAGCCCCCTCTGAAAGGGGCTTCTTCTGAGTCAGGTGCGGTGTTGCAGACAGCAGCTGGGCACAGGGCTGACAGAGCAGGAGCTGCACTGCTGAAGAGAAGGTGTGCTTTGTGATCAGGAAGGCTGCCATCTTCACATGGGCTGATGTAAATAGTTGCTGATTGCCAGACAGAAGGTGCTTATTAATTATTTTTCCTCTTAGTGAGAGAGGAAATACAGGCAGACGTCGGAGTCTCTGAAGAGCTCTCTTTATTAGCTTGACCTGACAGCACTACCGAGGTGTTTTGCTTGGGGACAAAATCCACATTTTGCCTTGCAATTTAGTAAGCTTGTCTGCATTGCCTCCCACGCTTCCTCCTACAACCTTTCCCTTCCCCTGTGGCACACCCAGGCTTCTTTTTTGCTAGTCCTTCATCCTCTGCTACCTTCCTGCCTTCTCCCAAGCTGCCCTATGAGCTTGAACGTGTTCTAAAGTGAATATATATTTTAATTATTTTTTTGTCCTCCTCACCCCTTTTAAAAGACAGACAGATATATTTTCTGTGCAAAATACTGAAGGTACAATCCCAAATCCAGTGCTGTTGCTGTTAGTAGGTTTCAGATTAAAACATGGGCTTTTTGTGGGACTGAAACCTGGCTTTTTCAGAGCACCCTCAAGCCCTATGGGAGTCAGGGGAAGCTGCAGCTTCTTGAACACCTCTTAAGATGGGTCTTATCAGCTTGATGCCTGCCCATACCATCAGCAGCTGCCTGTACTTACATTTATCCTCTTTGAGAGGGTAAGTTTTCAGGTGCTTACTTTACTTTGATATTTTCTCTTCCAATGGGAACATTCCACCCTTTTTGTGGCTTTACATCTTCAGAATTGTGTATGTGTGTGTGAGAGTGCAGAAGGGGGAGGCAAAGTTTTTTCCCAGCCTTTCAGAATTCCCATTTCTTCCCAAAAGCTGCCTGACAGTGTGAAGGAGATGGGTCACAGCATCATTTCTTCTTGGGCTATGGGATCTACTTGCCTCCTTGTGCAGAGAGGCTCAGATCTGGTCAGGTAGGACTGTTGCAGAGCAGGGAAAGGTATGAGACATATAAACAGTTCATAGGATTTCTTTTCAGTCTTAGCTCAGATGAACTCCCAGTGCACCTAGAGAAGCACTGCCTGATTAAATGCCACAGCCTTTGGCTGTATGTGCTGTGTCACAGAGACCAGGAGAGCACAGAAGTACATTTAACACCATGCCACAGACTGAAGAGGTCACTCATGGCTTTGTCCTCAGACATGACCCAAATTCAGACCAGTCTTATTTGTATTTGGCTACACAGAGCCAGGTAGGTGTCAGCCCAGCTCCTGACATAATTTGGAGCAGTAGCAAGGTAGTAATGAACTACATTCTGGTCTCACAACCTCATCCTCCCACCTGTTTCTGACAGTAAAAAGAACAGAATCAAGCCAGGGGTTTTTAGTCTGGCTGCTCCTCCTGGGCATTTGGGCTGGGTGAGTCAGTGCCAGGAAGGCAGTGCAGGAGTGCAGTGTGTGGGAAAACCATGGTCAGGCTCAAGACTTTTTTGCTGTCCTAGAAGGTCAGAAGGTGTCCTCAACAGAAAGAAGATACTAAACTCCTCTCTGCCTTGGACTCTTTCAGGGATAGCTGTTTCCTAAAGCCCCAAGTGTGACCTGAATGCATCAGAAACACGGACTTCAGGACTTGGTGTTTGCAGGGCTGCTCCAAAGTTGTTGTCTGACCTGAGTGTGTTTGCCTCTGCACGCTGCTTGTAGGACCAAGCCCTGCTGTGCTGCAGAGTCATCTCTGCTCCTCCTGGAGCCAGAGGCAGCTCAGGATAATCAGCACATACAGAAATAAGCTCTGACTGTGGAAGCCTGGTAAGAGCGCAGTTTAATTTCACTGTGGTATGCAGCACTCCAAGAAAACTCCCAGACTCAGTTCTTTTCCTTCAAGCACAATCACTTATCAAGGTCCTTGGCAGCAATTCACGTACAGAAAGGAGCAGCTGTCATGGTATTCCCACATACAAACACAAAA